GACTTGAACTATGCACCGCCGCTCTACTCACCACTCTTACGCTACATGTCCGCAACACTCTGGGCTTGGCAGCTACACCAATACACCTGTGATCCGATTCGAAGGTCACGCTCCACTGGATTCAGGAACACGCTGCTGGAAAACCTTCGTCGCCAACCGAGTAGCTTCCATCTAGACGCAGCTTTCAGACGCCCAGTGAAGACACGTGGCCGGAAAGGACAATCCTGCAGACTGTATATCACGAGACATTACTCTTAGCGAGCTACTCAACCACGCATTGTGGTGGATAAGACCTATCTGGTTGTCACTCAACGAGACTACTTGGCTCAACTCAGAAATCGACGCTCCAGAGGATGACCTTCCTGAACAACGAGCCACTAGCCTAATGACCAAGAGACCTGTCACCGTCGAATCGGACCTTCTTCTCAGGTTCCCGACATTGCATCGTCTGCAGCGAGTTATAGCTTGGTGTCGTTGATGGCTCAACATTGCAGAGCATGATGTCACCTGACCGTCCACTGCACCCAGACGAGTTGGATGCCGCCCTACTTCCCTGGCTTCGAGTAGTGCAGACGTTCCACTTTCCAGACGAGGTACAGGTAGACGTACCAGTTCACCACGTAGCTCTTTGGCAAAATTGAATCCGTTCTTCGACGACCAAGGCGTGCTGCGCGTAGAAGGACGTCTCAAACACGTGCTGCTGCCTCACAATAAGAAACACCCGATGATCGGCCCGCCGGTCTTCTGGTTAAATCGACTGATTGAGTCTTGCCATCGTCGGACTCTGCACGGAGGTGTCCAGCTGACACTCAGCCTGCTCCGCCTTCGATTCTGGGTGCTATGCGGGAGGATTGTCGTCAAACAGCAGCTACACCAGTGTGAAACCTGCACTTAATAGCGAGTTGTCATACCACAACCTCTGATGGGCAACCTTTCTCGTGACCGAGTGACGCCGACTCGACCGTTCCTCAGCACCGGCCTGGATTACGCTGGATCAATCCTCATCCGGACTATCGAAGGGCGTGGACACCGCGCTCACAAAGGATATATCGCTGTCTTCATCTGTTTTTGGTCAAAGGCCATTTACCTGGAAGTTGTTTCAGACTATTCTTCCAAGGCCTTTATCGCCGCCCTACGCCGCTTCGTCTCCTGCCCGCCTGGATCATCAGAGAGTGTCTGTAACGGACGAGAATTAAGACAGACTCTTTGTCTGCCGCCGGGGCCTGTGCATCGACATCTACAGTGACTGCGGTACGACGTTCATCGAGGCAGATCGCACGTTGCGCGAGCTCTTCACGGCATCGACATCCGAAGGTCATGGTATGCCTTTGCCGCCACCGCTCAAGGAATTCACTGGCATTTTAATCTGCCACCGGCTCCGCACTTTGATGATCTGTAGAAGACCACCGTGAAATCGATCAAGTTTCATCTCCGTCAGGTGATCGGCGAGACCACTCTCACTTTTGAGGAGTCGAGCACACTCCTCGCCCAGATCAAAGCCTGTCTTAATTCTCGTCCGTTGCAGGCACTCTCCGATGATTCAGACATCGGCATTGACACCCGGTCACTTCGTCGGGGCGCCGCTCCTCGCTGTGCCCGAGCCATCGCTGACCAGCCGACCTGAAAACACATTGTCACGATGGCGTCATTTGCAGGTCATGAGAGATCACTTCTGGCATCGATGGTCAACAAAGTACATCCACAGACTCACCCCGAGATCCAAGTGGCTCAAGGACGAGGCCGCACCCCGCATCAACGATCTCTACTTCGTGCGTTCCGAGCTCACCCCTCCGAGTTAATGGCCCCTCGTCCGAATAACGAACCTGCATCCCAAGGGCGACGGCATCATACGCGTGGTCTCAATCCGAACAACTACCTTCAAACTCGTGCGCACACTCGTCAAACTCGTCTTGTTCCTGGGCGTGATCAAAGCAACCGCGTCGAACACCGACACCTCATAACACATCTCAACACCATTCACGTTCACGATCACTCCATTACTCATCTTTGCAGTTGCGTCTCGCAATATCACTCCACAGCGCCACTCGCGCACAACATTGTTACCATTCACCACTGCACTCGTTTGTCATTTCACGATTTCCTTGCATTGTATTTCACTTCACACTCGCCATTCTGTTCCGATCACGTGTATCATCACGTTGCCGCATGATTATCACATATTTCACGCCATCACCACGTGCATTTCACCGCGCAGGCGCGCGTCAGTCCCACCATCAAATGCTATTGGACTGCGATTCGCGACTGGAAACCACCACTAACTATTTTGTCATTTCGCGACAAGGCGGGCGGGAATGTTCAAAATGCAAATGTAAAAGTTACATATTTTTTTAGAAATAATTGTTAGAAAAATCAATTGTCGAGTTAGTAAACAGTCAAAGTTGTTTATATGTATAAAAAAAACCCATCGTAAATTTTAACAGGTCATAAATCTGTCGCCAAAAAAAATGGCACCGAAATAAACAATTAACGATATCGCAACCGTTTCGCCGGATGTTTATGTTGCGACAAGCATGCGCGGCTTATCACGTGCGTCCCGAACAACCAATAATTCAAGCCATCACACGCTCGCGCATGTCAAACCCGCGTCTTTTTGCGTAATCTCGTTGAAGCGGCCAATTATGAACCGTGCTCTCAGGTCATCTCGCAAACTCAAAATTGTTCATAATTATTGGCGCTTTACGAGAGGATGGGCTCCTTCGAAAAAACCTTAAAAGGGAGTTCACGTCCGGACAACGTCGCTGTATCGCTTTTCCGCCGTGAACCGCATATCGCATCTCCGTATATTTGACAAACCGCAAAATTTGTTGACAATCGCTGCTTAAACCTATTATCTAATTACGATTACGTTTACTGAAATAGATTAAAAGTCTATATTAATTTTTATGCGTGTATATTTTTGTTGATCAGTGTACTTTTATAATTAAATTGTTTTTCATACTCAAAGTGACTTATCTAACTGAAACCTCCTTTCGCAAAGCGCATTCTCGAACACATACACTTTTATAAGTAATAGTTAACAAACAAATAAAGTTAATTTTACGCCGTAAAGTTACGGCATTATTTAATCACAAAAGCAAAAAGAAGTATCGTTTCGTGTCTGAATAGCTCAATTGGAAGAGCAGTCTCCCGGCAAGCAGAAGGTCTCGGGTTCGATTCTCGATTCAGCCGACTTTCGGATCAATATTTTTCTTGCCTATTTCTTTACAGGGGAAGTTAGGAGAGGAACAAGAGGAATTTCTGAGATCCCAACCATAGGATACAAATTTCTTAAGGGGATGCCGGAGCGTTGGCCGAACTCCGACGGGTTAGCGCCCTCATTTAAGTGGAACTAAAATTGTCGATAATTATCGATAATTTTAATTCCGCTATTATCGATAATAATCCATATATGCCAAAAAGCTATTTTAGTGTGTTCAACATATTGAAATCAGACAATATAATATATTTTTACTGTCGAATCATCTCGCACACGCATCTAACAATAAGCGTCAATAACAGTAAAACATACATATATAAATGTGTCTCTTTATGACATAGTTGAACACAATTTCAATATTGCTCTTTTATATATTTTGATGATATATGCATATTTTCATGTATTTTTCAAAGGAAATATACAATCTACCATATATATATACAAGGTGGTTCAAAAGTCCGGCAACGGTCAATTATGTCCAAGAAATAGTGATCTTATGAATAAAATATAAAAATTGCAGGGTTCAACCCGGGAAAAATTTTTTATATATAATTATATCTAAATAATTATATAATTATACATAATTATATGTGAAATATGTTCATTTTATATATAATTAAATTTATTTATATATAAATTATGAAGTTCATGTATAATCTCATGTCAAGTTATATATGAAACATTCCCAGCAAACACCGATATATAATTGTTACATTGCTATAATAAAACGGAATATAACACGCAATATAACGCAAATGTACTACGTTATATACACGTTAGGAGTAATTTCCTACTCTTATAAATTACAGATATATAACGTTAATGTAACACATAAATAACATGTTATATAACTTTAAAAAGAATTATAAAATAATTCTATAACTGCAATATAAATTACAGAATTGTTATAAAGCTATTATATATGTGTTATAAAGCTGTTATATTTATGTAATAAGACTTTTATGTTTACTTGTTACTAAATTGTTACATATTTAATTGAGAATAAAAATTTTAATTATTATATATTTATTACAAACGCGAATACTACAAATATCAAATTCTTTAATTAATTTCAAGCAAAATTAAATAAAATTTTATTTCACTTTTTTATATGTATACATATATACATTAAACATAGTTATATATACGTGTTGTTGCTCAGGTACGTACAGGTACACATGTGTAAGCTTATGAAATATAGCAACATATATAAATATATTAACATTTTTGGTATTCATTATCTATCACATATATATTTTTAAAAACTTAAACCAAAAGATAATACTTAGAAAAAAAAAATTTCCTTTAATTAGAGAACGGAAAATCTAATTATTTTCCTTATCTTGTTCCTGTGCTCCTCCTTTTTCTTCCCTCTGCTTCCTCTGCTTAGCGAAACGTAGTCATTCCGCCACAATATTATCAAATTCAGCTTCTGTTAAAGAAGAATACTGTAGAGTAATGTCTCCTAAAAAGAATAATATATAGTTAAACAAGAAATTTAGGATAATAGATACATTTTTAATAATATAGAAAACACACTTCTCATAATTTTGATAAAATATAAATCGCATATTTTAAAATTATTACGAACACCCTTCCATGAGCAATCCATCGCACATTGGTTCGTAAATATTTTGCAAAGGGCGCGATGAATGTTGTCTCTGGGATTATTTCCCCCAACTTTTAAGATAAATTCTTTCTGTAAAAAAAATAAATTAAAAAATTTTTATCCAATTAATTAAATTATACAATTAATTAAATAAATTAATGTAAAACTTACAAATTGAGTAACTGCTTCCTCCGTGTCACGCAATAAAGTCTCAAAATCTTTTATAGTTTGAACCGAGCGTAACGGTAAAATTTCAGCAATCAAGCTGTCATTACCCTTTGTTGGAAGAAGAGCGCGGCTCTTCATAACATCTTCCAATCGGTTTATCAATTGTTTGATGTCTCTTAAGATTAAATTGGACGTAGTTTGGGTACGTGTTATTTGTCCTTGATTACGTATTATATCTTGCTGTGTACGTATCACTTGATTAAAGTACTCTGCAATGTGTACAATGTATTTCTTATTATACATAATTTTATATTACTATTTAACTAAAAGCCATTATATGCATATATATTAATACATACTTTTTATATTAGGGTCTGATACTTCATTAACTATTTCTTGCAATTCTTCATGGTTTTCATGTTCTTCAGATAATGGATCACAATCTACAAAAAAGAAATATTAGATATATATATATATATTGTTGCGTCCTCGGGACGCCTCTCGCTCAGTCACTCACACACAGTCACTCTCACTCGCGCGCGAAATAAAGACACTCGCATAATAGGGAAATGAACTTTAATATGAGGAACCAATACACGAAACCAATGAAATATAACAAATAGTGCATTCGTAATGCAAAGAAGCTCCGGTCTCGGAAAACGTCCGCACGATGCGACCGCTAGACCAAAACTGTCATGTCTCCCGAAAACAGAAGAAGACCCTTAGTTGTTTAACAACAACTCCCTTGACGACGATCTCCCGGAGGCGTAAAGAGTTGATCCCGCGAAAAGTATCACCCGATACAAAGATGTAGATCCAGGGGCGTAACACGGGGGCGCAACACTGCCCCCCTTCTTCAAGATTGTCGTCCCGACAATTCTCACGGAGATTGAAGACCTAGGACTCTGACGCTGCTATCAGGGCACCAACGATACTCCGCTCTCCCTTAGCTGCTGCTACAGGTTACCGAACGAAACGCCTGGTCCCTCTCTTTTTGCGTCTACACTGTCCGGACGAATCCTGCTCTCCCTTAGCTGCTGCTACAGGTTACCGAGCTTCGCCCTCCTCCTCTCCGTACTCGAACTGTTTTTTTGAAGAAAAATTGGCCAGATTTTTCCTATAACAGTCGAGTTGATAGAAGATATCCCTGCTGTCTTCGCGGTTTCACTATACTCGCCGTCTCCCGGAAGGATAACGAAATGGTCCATGAATCTTCAGACAAAGGGGGGGAATATCTTCCGTGGACCCAACGTTCCTCGTGAACACCCTAAGTCTCTGTCCCGGCATTTGCCCTCAGTCTCGTGGGAAAACCACGGATCAAAAACCACGAGAGGGACAGTCTTCAACGTGATGAACCAAATGACCAATCTTCTGAAGATGAGACGGTCTTCTCAATTGAAAGGAGCCAGTTGCCCTCGATGAGTAATGGTCGCAGGAACTTCCTCAGAGAATTCTCTTGTAACAAAAACTCAGGCAAGCCTCTTCTTAAAAATTTCCAACTAGAAAAGAAAACATTCCTTACGCAGAATAAATTCACCAATTAAAAAAATGCACTTACAAATATACACACAAACACAACTCTCCAATTCCTAGCAATCTTTATTTGAGTTTTGTACTATTTCTAATTAACAATCAATATTTCTATCTAAAAATGGAGCTAATCTATCTGCATGCACTACTTTCTTCCGATGTCTGGGTGTCTTCTGAATGCAGTACACCACATCGTTGAATTTCTTTACAATAGAGAAAGGTCCTTCCCAATTACTCTGTAACTTGGGAGCTCTACCTTTAATTCTTCGAGGGTTATAAAACCAGACTCTCTCTCCCTCTTGAAAAAGAATCTGTCTAACTCCCTTATCGTACCAACTCTTCACCCTAGAAGATCTAATATTCATTTTGTCTCTAATTTCGGAATGGATATCATTTAACTTTCTTTTGAGAGTATTAGCGAAATTTTCTATCGAAGACGGCTCTTTTTCTTCTAATCTAGGAACATTTCCTTGCAATAGATCCACTGGAAGTCTTAGATCTCGAGCGAAATATAATTCCGCAGGAGTCATCCCAGTGGTTTCGTGCTTTGAAGATCTGTAAGCTAGAAGAAACATGGGAATCCACCGATCCCAATCTTTTTGATTTTGTGAAATATACTTCGCTAGATAATTGATTATTGTTTGATGTTGTCGTTCGACCTGACCATCAGACTGAGGATGCAACGCAGTAGTTCGCGTTTTCCTAATTCCGAGAAGCTTCATTATTTCAGCGAACAGTTTCGATTCAAAATTCTTCCCTTGATCGGTATGTACTTCTAAAGGTACTCCATGTCTTGAAATAAACTCATAAATGAAGATTTCTGCCACTGTCTTTGCTCTAATATTCTTCAGGGGAAAAGCTTCTACCCATTTGGTGAAGCAATCTACGATGACAATTAAATATCTGTTTCCAGAAAAAGTTATTGGAAGTGGACCTAGGATATCCATTTGAATTCTTTCAAAAGGACTTCCGACATTATAGATCTGCATAGGAGATTTTCCTTTTCCTGTGGGGCCTTTCTTAGAAATACAGACCTTGCAAGATCTGCACCAATTTTCAATGTCTTGCTTGTAAGTCGCCCAATAAAAGCGTTTTCGTACCTTTTCTAAGGTTTTGTTTACACCAAAATGACCTCCGAACGGAGAATCATGTACTTCCTCAAGGACTTGTTTAACTCGCTTTCGAGGAACAATCAATTGAAGAAAACTAGACTTAAATTCGGAGCTTCCCACTTCTTGTAAAGGACTCCATTCTGAAGAATTAATGCATCCCAATAAGTCCAATAAATTTGAGCAGAAATGTCACGAGTCACGAATTCAGAACGAGATGGTCGTGTTTCTTTCATTTTTCCCTGAATAAAAACGGCAATGTCAGGATCTTCTTCTTGATCTTTACGCCATTCTCCCAGATCTTCTGTTTGGAATATAAGTCGTGCAACCATTTTCTCGTTTTCAGACGTACTCTTTATCTCGACCTTGGCACAATATCCACACCCATAGGTCTCACATAGTCGTCTGGACAATCCATCGGCATTCTTGTGAGATTCTCCTTTCCGGTGTTGTACTTCGAAGTCGTATTCTTGGAGTTTTTCCAACCAACGAGCTAGTTGCCCTTCCAAATCTGATAACTGATCCAAAATGTCGTCAATTCGAGGTAAGGGATAGGAATCTTTTACCGTGATAGTGTTAAGTTTCCGGTAATCAACACAGAATCTCAGTGTTCCGTCTTTCTTTTTGACCATAACAGCCGGCGAAACCCAAGGACTTTGAGATTCTTCTATGATTCCTTCTATTTTCATCTCTTCCATTATTTTATCAACCTCATCCCTCATCTGAAAAGGAATCCTACGGGGTACCTGTTTTATGGGGAGAGAGTCTTTTACATTTATGACATGTTCGATAATATTGCAATTCCCAGCAACAATATTACAGGAGAATAGATCTTGAAATTCATTTAGAAAATTTACAAAGGTTTCTTTCTGTTTTTTTTGCAAATGAATCGAGCTCTTTTCGAAAAGTTCTTTTAAAATAGACGGGATTCCTTTTGGAAAATTCTCTATTCTTGAACATTGAAAATCTTTATCGTCAAAAATGGATTTATTAAAAACTTTATCAAAAACGTTTTCCAAATTAATCATTTTAAGAAAATCCATTCCTAAAATACATTGATCATTAATTTCAGCAACTAATAACGGAATTTCAACCGAATAATTTCCGATTTCAATTTTTGTTTTTACTAAAAATTCAATTAAAATTTTTCTCCCGTCGGATATTTTAAATTAATATCATTGACTCGAATCTTTTCAAGATCTTCTCCCACTAATCTGCTATTTAATATGGAAACATCAGAGCCTGTATCTATTTTAAAAAGACACTCCTTTTTATTTAATCTACCAAAATACGAATAAGAATCTTTCTTAGAAATCCTTCTAACACTACAATCAATGAGATCAACAAAATCGGACGTCGGGGCGTTTTCTGTAAGAGTTGAATTTTCCCCGAAAAATTCAACTACCTCTAGTTTTCCTTCGCCTCAGGACATTGAAAACGCAAATGTCCGATCTTCCCGCAAGACCAACATTCTTTCCCTTTGGCCGAAAAGTTGTTCGCTTGCGCTTTCCCTTTCGAGTCAAACCGTTCGCTTTTCTTTTTTTCGGAATCGGTTCGCGCGTCGCTCCTCTCTCCCTTTTGATGATTTTGACTTATTTTGCCGTAATTTCCTTTGTTACTAAAATTGTCTCTTTTTCTATCAAAACTATCCCCCTGAATTATTTTTATAGCCTTAGCTCTTTCTATAGCCAAATTTAAAGATGTAATTCCCTCCAGTTGAAGGGTTCTTTTGACAAACCCGTCTATTAATGCCGAGACAAATTGCGCGCATGCTATTTTATCGCGGACCGCATATGGACATTCGGGGTAAGCCAGACGCGACAGTCTCTCAAGTTCGGCTCCAAAGGAAGCGAAATCCTCTCCATATTTTTGTTTCCGTGTCGTAAAAAGATAGTAATAATTTTGCGTCAAGTTTCCGTCTTCAAAAAGCAACTCTAATTTTGATTTTAATTCCGCGAATGTTAATTCTTCAAAATTCTCAACATTTTCTAAAACGGACCGAGCTTTTCCCCTTAAATTTGCAGCGAGAGTAATCATTTTTGCTTTCTCATCCCAATTATTCGCGACGGCTATCAAAAGAAATTGGGAGAGGAACTCCCGCAGCGGAACCCTTCCATCGAATGTATCGGGCTTCAGTTTTAAGCCCGTTTTCGCACGAAAGTCACCGGTCGTCTCGCCCGCGTTTATCACGGCACTCGCGGCTATCGCGGCACTCGCGGTACTCGCGCAAGCTAAATTCAGTCGTGTATCCCCAGAAGCTCTTATATTAGAAGGACTTAGCTGGTTAGTTTGCTGCGAGGAGATCCTCAATTCGAGCTGGTGCAGCTGTTCGTCCTTCTCTCGGAGAAGAGTCTCAAAGCGAGCTTGCTGATGTTCTCGTTCGGCCCGCATTTCTCGTAGTTCTCGCAGTGCGGTCTGCAACGCATCCGTCTCGTCTATCTCCTTCATCGTTGTTCGGGAACGCGTCGCTTTCGGCGAATGTTGAGTCGTCATTTTGGCGTTCTCTCAGGAAGATGCGATTCTTTCGGTTTTGATCCCGGACGAGCCCCCAAAATGTTGCGTCCTCGGGACGCCTCTCGCTCAGTCACTCACACACAGTCACTCTCACTCGCGCGCGAAATAAAGACACTCGCATAATAGGGAAATGAACTTTAATATGAGGAACCAATACACGAAACCAATGAAATATAACAAATAGTGCATTCGTAATGCAAAGAAGCTCCGGTCTCGGAAAACGTCCGCACGATGCGACCGCTAGACCAAAACTGTCATGTCTCCCGAAAACAGAAGAAGACCCTTAGTTGTTTAACAACAACTCCCTTGACGACGATCTCCCGGAGGCGTAAAGAGTTGATCCCGCGAAAAGTATCACCCGATACAAAGATGTAGATCCAGGGGCGTAACACGGGGGCGCAACAATATATATACATGAATATAATTTTTGTTGACTTTATATACTTATGATCATCGACATATAAAATGAACTGAACATCAATAAATAACCCAGGTAACAAACTGACGTCATTAAACGTCAAAATGACGTTATTTTGACGTCGTGTGACGTTATTTTGACGTTTAATGACGTCAGTTTGTTACTTCTTATTCGATGCTCAGTCCATTCTGTATATCGATGTTCATGACAATATACATACTTTGAAATATTATGGGAATATCACAAATCTGACGTATATCCACTTCTTGTGTACAAGAAGTTTTCTTTTTCTCTGGAAATGTATACAATATGTAATAAAAATCAAAATATCAAAGATTATAATATCACATACTATACGTACCACAAGGTTGTGATAATGGAATCTTTTTTACTGAATCAATCACAGTTTTGATGCTTTCAATTTCATTGTTGGTGAAATTATTGAAGGTTAAATTGTCCGGACACAGTGGGAAAGCAGATGTAATTTTATTCATACTGCTTGCTTTTTCTTTCTCTGTAAATATTTAAAAAAAATTTTCTTATATAGCCCTTTAAAAATGAAGATTATCAAATATAATAAAACATGCTGTTTTAATACGTACTCTTAATTTTAGCAATTGGTCGATGTACATAATCGTCGTCTTCTTCTTCTTCACTGCTATATCGATTGTACAAAGTATGCTGTCTTTTGCCACGTCCCAATTTGTCTTCGTCGGTTGTTTGGTAGTTGGAGTCAGCTGCACTTTTTCTTGCAGATTCCAAAGATCCTATAATAAAAAAATAGATATATTAAATTGCGCATTAATGATAATAATAATATAATACTAATAATAATCACAATAAAAACATTACAATAAATATGTTCTGCGCAAACTTAAATGACTCTTAATAGTGTAATATAATATAATCATAACACACAAAAGATAAAAATGCATAAGTACTTACTACAATGTTTTATGAGTTCAATATTATATTGATCCCAAGTTTCAAAATTCGGACTTGCATAGTTTGCGATTAGAGGTGCAGCATTTGCTGTCCGTGGCCACCAGCACTTCTGTTGTTGATTGTCATCTAGTATAAGCCACGCTGTTGGTATTTCTGAGTATGAATTATCTATAATAAACTTGACAACGGAATATCTTTTTCCTATAGTACCACCAGAATCCATTTTTCTCTAAACAAAAAAACAGTATATAAATTAATTTCTTCACAAATAAAAATATGTATATACATCAAATCACATTAGTAATATCTTATTGACAAAATTATTGATCAAAATAATTGATTGCTTTAATGCAAAATTTTAAAAATCACATTTGATATCATATGTAATATAAAAGTTTTTTTGCTTTAATGCAAAAGTTTTTTGCATTAATAAATACAAAAATAAGACAAAGTTTTGTTATAAAATAATTCTTTTATAAGTTAAAATTTTATACAATATTAATATATGTACACATATATTTTCATCAATGTAATAAATAGATTTTACAAGAATATTTTTTACTCGAACTATGCAATAATATAAATATTTTGTAAGAAAAATATACGTTTATATTTAATTTTAATAAAATTATATTGCTTATGTATACGTTTTTATGCCATATTACTGATATAATTATATTATTGAAATACAATCCTCAAATGCATTTATATTAATTTTGTTAATAATAAATAATTAATAATACATAAAGAATACTTGTTACATCTACATATATTTAAGATAAAATTAAAGATATAAAAATTATTACTAGCCTAGTAAAAATTAAAATCAAATTAATTTTAATTCACATCGTCTCTTGCAATTATATATATATATGATATAAATTATATTTTTTAATAGTTCATAGTTTTAATCAATCAAAATTATAATTTTATGCATAAGATTTATGTACATAAAGTATTGCAAAATTAAAAAATTAAATATTAATACAATTTGTAAATACTCAATCTTACAAATGTTTATTCAATTTGCGCCTTTCCAAATATGCAAATTAAAAGTATTTTCACAAAGACAAAGGAATACATTAAAATGACATTTATATTACGTTATTCAAAATAAATTTTTGATTCTTTACAAAAGTACGGAAAATTAAATAAAAATATTAAATTATTAACGATGAATAACATCTAATTATTAGTATGTAAAAGCGGTATTGTTATATAACAATCAGTCTTATTCATATATTTTAATATTAAACATTTTTGTTTTATTGCATTGAGTGGAATCGTTATAATTTCTGAATTAGTTGCACTTGATATTAAAAATATACCAAGTTTTTCAGAAGCACATGGCACAGTAAAAAAAGATTTCGGATTTAGAAAACGTTTTGCGCGAAAAAATAATATATCTTCCTCTTCAATAATATCCAAAATAAAAACTACAGAATTATCATTAAGCAAAGCACATTTATCATTCTCAGTTATTGCAATCTTAAAGTTTTTATATTGAAAATGAGAAATTTTTGCTTTATTTGTATATACAACAACCGGATAATTTACGATAGGGTATTGTATAATTGGTTGCTGTAATTCTTCAAATATGCAATTTGAAAGTTCTTCTAAGGGTTTCCCACATTGATGCAATTTCTTTTTAATTTTATGCATATTATTTTCGTATTTAAAGCAACTAAAATTATCAAGACAACCAAAGTTTTTTACATCATCAGCAATATGTAGAAGGTTATGAACATTATGTGATAGATATTGTTTACCATAAATAGTACTGTAATTGGATACAAAATGTAATAGTAAAGAATGTGCATAAGCAAGACCTGTCTCATTTGTACGTATTTGTGGATTAGCCATTATTCTTATTGCAACACTAAGAGAAAGAAAGTGATTATACAAAATTGGAGGAATGGTTGACTGCAAAATTACTATTCCAGTATACAACAAAAATTGACGCAATTCCGTGGCTTTCTATTTATCAATATCAACTAAAGTTCTAGGCTTTCTAGCAAATTCAGATGGAACGCTTTGTTTAAAATTTATTAAATATTGTGAAATTGAATCAATACTTTCTGCATTTAATCTATTTTCTTTATTTCCTTTAATCCATAATTGTTCGCGAACGCGCTGCGTGAGAGAGGATCGCGCGACACAATAGGATAAGTCACCCTTTCTTTTGTATTAAAAAAGTTTAATTTCAATACACACTTAATTACAAATTACTTGAACAAGACTTATAACATTTAAATATTTCAGTGAAAATCTAATCGAGAACAAAGTACGGAATAAGCGGCGGTCGTCAACGAGATTTTAGCGGATCAGAATAATATGCGGTTGCGTTATGCGGTCACTGCGGAAAGCGATAAGGCCCGGATTTCGGGCGCGAGCTCTCTCTTATGGGTTTCCGAAAAAAGCCCACTTTTTTGGAAAGCGCCAATTATTGCGAGCAATTTGAATTGTGCTCGAGGTGACTCGAGGGCACAGCTCATTATTGGCCGCTTTTTTAAGATGCGCAACGAACTCGCGTCTTGCCATGCGCGCGCGGCCGCTCGCTCTTTCTAATTGGTGATCGAGGCCGCGTGGCAATTTTGCGCATGCTTGTAGCGCGAAAAGTATCCGGTAAAGACGGTTGCGAAACCGCTAATTGTTTGTGTGCAAAGAGTGTTTATGAGATGACAGGTTTAATTTATGACAGTTTTTTACCGTGACAAACATACAAAAACGACCGTGACTTTTATTATTGACGCGGATGGAAAATTCTAGAATTTACAAAAATTTTACTTAACATCTCAAACAATAATTGTAACAACCGTTTCATAACACCTAAGCAAACAAGGTGCATATAGTCAAGCGGAATTTGCGAAACCATTCCGATGGAAAGCTTTTCCAATACAGAATCGCCTGTGTGATGTTCTATTTGAATTCGATTCTTAAACGAGTCATCTGTACGTAAAATGTTATTAATTTCAGGAAAAATTACTTTATTATTTACGAAATCGCCTTCTTGCATACATTTGGAACACGAAAAATATCCTGTGTGGCCTTTTGTGTACGTTATAAATGATTTGGCTGGAGCATCGCAAAGTATTGCATTAATATTCACTTTATATTTCTTGTTATTAACAATTATGCCATTTTCAAAAAGAAACAAAAATTTATTAACAAAACTACCAAGAAAATCATTCGCATCGCTCGTTTACACATACCATGATATATACCAATTACGAATGGCAATGTATGAATACCGATATCTTCAATAGATGCCATGATAGGCCAGAATTGACTATTAGAACTTTTCGAAATAGGTAAGCCGTCTATATTTATATTTATTTTAATTTTATTTGTGTTAATAAACTGGGAGTAATTTTTTATAGATCGTTCTAGAGCAGAAGTAAGGCCAAAATGTGCATAACGACCATTACCCATATGTTTTATGTTTACGGATGCGTTACGTGGTGTATTAACTAAAACTCTAACATCACTAGGCAATTCAGTATGGCCATGCTTTCTTAATATTCTCAATAATTCATTAGCAGTATTGTGAGGAACGTTACGTTCTATAATTAATTTCTGTAAATCTTCTCGTAAGCTTAGCTCATGGTTGCACTTATTATTATCTATCAATGTGGGTATATTATTTGTCTCATCAAAAGTACATATATTATTGTTCTCAAGTTGAAAATCTATTGATAATTCATCAGATTGGTTTGTTTCGTCGAATAATGTACTATTCGTGCAAAAATTTTCTGAATTTGTGTTAATATTAACCGCTTCTTCTACTACATTAGGTTCTAAATTTGATAAAGTTAAATATAAAGTCGAATTTTGATTATGTAATAAAATCGAATCTTCATTACGTAAATCTCGATTAATAATCTGATTCCTTCGTCTTTGTGATAAATATCTAATATCTTTAGGCATGATAAATAAAGTTATACCTCAACAAATATTGTTAAAATATACGCGCGTTACACACCTCTATATTAAATCTGAAAAGAATCTTAAAATAAAAATATATTTTAATTAAATAAAAATATATATATATATATATATAAAATTGAATAAAATAATAAAATAAATACTTCATAAATGTTAAAGAAATATTAATGACATTAATGTTAAATAAAACGTTTTTTAATAAAAAAACAATCAATTATTTTATAATTTTTAAGATATTTGAAAATGAGTTTCTTCTTAAATATTTTGTTGATACTGGAGGAGTATTTTCACAAACAGTAACAATCGTATTCAAAAATATTATTTCATTGCAAAAACTATTGATGCAAACCCAAACTATGTACGAGAAGTACTTTACATTTATTAAAATTAAAAAGTAATATGTTTGATAAAAAATCATGTGTTCTATCCAATAAGTATATGTACATAGCATGCAAAATGCATAGGTGATAAAAATAATATATACTATTAAATTATATATTATTAAATTATACTATTAAATTATATAATGTAAACATTCAAAATAATGTAAAATAGCAAAGTATTGTAATTGTAAATAAATAGCAATTAATGTATATAATATTAATATTTGAATGAAAGAAATATATAATTAAATAACTCGATTTAAAATAAAATAATATATAATAAAATAACTTATATTGATTAATATTGAAAAACATTTATATTAATAAAAAAGATGCAATTGAATAAAAACTAATAACTTTTTAGGTTTATTTAACTACATATTTTCGTTACTAGATGCAAATGTTCATCGTTAGACATAACCACTTCATAAGTATAATTATTACAGATATTTGTATCAATTACTTACCACTTTTGATGAAACAGCAGTTTTTAATGAATTGTAACACAGGGAACAGCTTCGAAGCCAAATTAAATCAAACTCGCTAATCAACCAATTTAGGCAAGCGTTGATTTCTATCAATGTTCTGCAAAGAGCCTGGAGTATGCTGTAAAACAAAATATTTAAAATACATTAATATCGACACATAATATCATTTCAATACATTAAATATCATGTTCATTATAAATAGCAATAAACATTACATCTAATTAAATAATATGCAATTAAACAGAGTTATAAGAACCGATAACTAGCTTTTATGAATCTGTTTCACTGCATATTTTCTTTATTAAAAATTATCGAAATTTGCACATAATTATAGTTTATAATTTAAATGAATAAAAAGCTAATTCATCCACCTTAAAATGTAACAAAATAGGATATATATGAATAATTTATATTGGCACGTGGAGCATAACCTATTTTTTGGACAACAGTTTTGTAAAATTTAGAACAAATATTAATAAAAAAGAATATTATAAATCAATTTACTTTCACATTGTGTAAAAAATCCATATTTAGTATATATTAGATGATTATTTATAAAGACAGAAACGATTACCTTTGATATAAATTAGCCGCCAAAATTCCGTTGATGAACAGCAAACCGGAAAGAGCTTTCTTCTCAGCAACACATACGTACACACACAGGACACGGAAATACTTGTTGCGCGGCAAAATTTAAAAGTAATGCTTATTACAAAATATGTTATATAACATTTAAATAATGCTAACGCAACGCTTGTTATATAACATGTTATATTTTTATTTTATTATTGTTATACTGTTATAACTAGAAAATACCAAAAAAATATAACAGTTTTAAAATACAGTTAAATTGTTGTTACAAAAGAAAATTATGTAACATCAACATTAATAATTTATAACTTCTGTTATATTACGTGTTACTTGTAGATTATATAATAATTATAATCTGTGTTTGCTGGGATTATATATATTTATATATGTGAATACTTATTTATTATATATACAATATATATATATATATATATTTATATAAGTATATGTATATAAAAAGTTCTTTTACGAGGATCACTATTTATATTTCGGGAATAGGAACAAAAACAAATAGTTAAACTGCGAATATATTTTATTGTTTTTCAAAGTACTCGCCACGATGATCGATACACTTTTGCATGCGCTTAAATCAATTTTCAAAGCATTTATTCCATTCCGAATGAGGTATCTCCAAGACATGATTTTTGAACGCTTCAATAGCTTCTTCGGGCGATGAAAATCGTTGACCACGCAGTTTATTCTTCACGGATGGGAACAAAAAGAAATCATTGGGTGCCAAATCAGGGCTGTACGGCGGATGACCCATCAATTCGATGTTTTGAGTGCTCAAATAGTCTCTTGTTTGAGCCGATGTGTGAGAGCTCGCATTGTCATGATGAAGAACAATCCGACGTCTCTTGTTTATTTTCCTTATTTCACCGAAGATTTCTGGCAAACAGATGGTTGTGTACCACTCAGAATTTACTGTTCTACGATCCTCTAGAGGCACTGTTGCAATATGACCAGTTTTTCCGAAGAAACAAACCACCATTTTCTTTGAAGTGCTTCGTGCGCGAACAATTTTGTTGGATTTGGTTCATCTTGCAACACCCATACAGTCGACTGCTGCTTACTTTCGGGCTCATACGAATATATCCATGATTCGTCACCTGTCACGATTTTATAAACGTCTTTTGAAGCACCGCGATTGTATTTTTTAAGCATTTCTTTGCACCAATCGACACGAGCCTTTTTTGAGCGATTGTCAAATTATGTGGTATCCAACGCGAACATAACTTTCGCACAGCTAAGTGTTCATGTAAAATCGCATATATGCTGGTGGAACTAATGCTTAGGGATGCCTCAATCTCACAATAGTTACATAACGATCTTGTTTAATCATTTCGTGCACAGCATCAATGTTTTCTGGCACTACAGTCGATTTTGGACGACCTTCACGAAACTCGTCGGACAGCGAACTACGACCACGATTGAATTCACTATACCAGCGATACACAGTGGTTTTTGATGGAGCTTCATCGCCAAAAGTCAAATTAAGTTGATTGACGCACTCTTGTTGTGATAATCCACATCGAAAGTCGTAAAAAATCATCGCACGAAAATGTTCACGATTCAGTTCCATTTTTTGCCGAGACGAAACTTTCAACTAAATATAAATAAACAAATAGCGTCCATATGACAAAATGTTCTGAGTACGTATATCGTCAAAAATGTCAAACTTTACGATGGAACCGTCAGATGGACTCACATGACATCAGTGTTGCCAATTCCCGAAATATAAATAGTGACCCTCGTAT